TACACTTACGTATGGGTATTGGGAGACAGAAGTCGGGGCAAAGTTTTACGAACAAAGACAGACAATGAAATTACTTTTATCCTCGGGGAGGGGTGAGGGGAGACTCTCTCTAAACCAATTTTTCTATGTGTTACCCACGAGCAGCCTACCTCTAAGTACACTATCTCCACCCCCATGGGAACACCCAACCACTAACCGATTACAAATCGGTTCGGTTGTTTAGCATACTTGCTAGTATTTTCACCGTTTTACGACTGGTCAGTAAAAGTCCTGTCAAAGATCATCTTACTTAGTCCCTGTTATTCTCTCTCTTAGAAAAATAGGACTTTGAAGTCTCAGCGTATTTGGAGCCAAACACTTCAGAGACATGTTTGTATATATCTGAGAGCTATAATATATTGATGAAAAACAGTATAATAGGGGACCTTTAAGGGAGAAACATCTCACCAATTCAACCAGGCGTGTTCCCGAGGCTCCACAACCTCAGTCCAGATGCACAGGGCGGCGGGCATCAGGGCGGAGACCCAGAGCCAGCAGCAGCTCACAATGAGGGCCATGAATAAGCCGAAGTCATGCACGGCCGGGATCTAAGTGTCAGTTAAACGTAGAGCAGTGTAAAGGACCTTGAAACATTTAATTTGTGCTTATCGTGTGGAAATGCCTGTCTGCTGAGAGAGGCAGTTCTGCTCATCCATAGCAGGGGAGTCATTTATACTCCCTGAACAGATCCTATTAACGTCCGGGCTTCTCCTCTAGAATACCTGAGAGAAAGTGTTGGCAGCGTAGGCAGCGGCGGTAGTGAAGGAGGTGAGGAAAGTAGCGCGGCCGGCTGTTTTAATTGTGTAGATCATTCTCTGCTGCGGCTGACGCAGATGGGAAGCCTGTCGGAAGGTGCTGATGAACACGAATACATCATCCACCCCTGAGCAACAAGAGAGAAGAAAAGCCTTATGACATTTCATCCGTAATGTACCGAAAAAGAAAAAAACGATGTCAATGTTTAAAGCAATAGATTGACATTTTGAAAAACTTTTTTTTACTTTTTAGCTTATAAGATTAAACTCTCATGTTTAAAGATGTATAGTGTGTGTGTGTGTGTGTGTGTGTGTGTGTGTGTGTGTGTGTGTGTGTGTGTGTGTGTGTGTGTGGGTGGGGTTTTCCCTTTCCTGCAGTGTTATATATGTTTTATGCATGTAAAGGGTCTGCCAAGGCTAAAGTCCCTCCAGAGGGAGTTTCTCTCCCAGACAGAGGGTGGAAAGAGGTGCTGCAGCACAGGCAGTATGAACATTAAAGCATGTTATCATGTCACAGTAGAGCAGTGGTTCCCAACCTGGGGGGCGCGCCCCCCTTATATAATTGTAACGCAATACATGATTGTCACTAAAAGCCTTGTATCTACATTACAATAACATATAAAAAATAATTGATTAATTAATTTGAATAAAAACTCAAGTTAGCAGCTAATAAAGGCATAAAATGACAGAAATGTATAATTCTTTCTTTAATAGAAATGTTTCTTCTGCCCGTAAAGTGTCCAAACCAGGCTTTTCTGGATAAGCGCAACTTCCAACAGGAGTCATTTGGGGGGGGCTCTTGGGAAAAAAGGTTGGGAACCACTGCACTAGAGGAACAAAATACAAATATGAACCTGAAAAAGAGCAGAATAGGGTCTGTTTGAATAAAAAAATAACTAGTGTTTCTTTTTTCCCTTACCAATCCCAATAATAACAAAGGCTGCAACTCCATTGAGGATGCCCAGGTACCTCACGCCAAAAACAACATGGTACAAGAAAAGAGCCATCAGGCAGCTCAGTCCAATGCTGGCGAGTCCAAAGAAAGTCAGGAACACTACAGAGACAAGAAGGAGCTTGTTAACATTCATATGATATCAAAGGACAACAAAAAGGGAAACGTTTAGAAGTGTACACATGAATGAAAGTGGATTAAAGAGCAGGTCCTACTGTACCAGAAAAGGAGGTGAGGACATAGACGAGCACAGTAATGCAGGCTCCACTGATGACAGCCAGCATCATGTCGTTGTGAAAGGTGTGTCTCACCTCATCATCAAACAGCTCCGTGCCCCCGTACAGCACCTTCACCTGGCTGGGGCAGCAGACACAAAATAACATCACATTTTGTTTCTTATTTAAAAACATTTCTTGTGGTTTTAATTTTCCTTTACATGATCTTCAATGCTTTTCAAGTAGAAAGGGTGCATGTTGTGAATTAAACTTAGGAGCCGGAGCTGCAATGAGGTAACTTAACGGGATTTAACGTGTAAGGATAATAAAAAAATTCTGTTTCATATACGGCAGGGGTCTCAAACTCAAGGCCCGGGGGCCAAATCCGGCCCGTGACTTCATTTTCTGTGGCCCCACAAGAGTTTGCAAAGAATATAATATGCTTGTTATACGGTTACATGCCGATTTATAGAAGCACGTTGCCCATAAACTACATGTCCCACAATGCATCTCAAATTTGACACATTTTTCAAAATGTCACTTTTTTTCTTTGATTTTTACTTTTTTTCCACAATGTGGATTTTCTTTTTAAATCATTTTGTGACTTTCTCACTGAAAAGACTTGCAATTATTTGCCCCAGACTTCTGCTTTCAGACCTAGTTAATTATGAAGTAATAGAGGTAATCATGTAATATAATACATTATTTTATATTTATTAAATATTTATATATGTATTTTTATATAGTCCTTTAAGTGCAACCATACTGCTGGTGTGGCCCGTGATGAAATTGAGTTTGACACCCCTGATATACGGTCCGATGGCAATGACAAAGTATGGGAGCCTACTCTTTTGCGTTGGGAGAGACTTAAAAATACCAGCATTCCCCGCTTCACCCACGTGTATGCCCCCTTTCTTTTACTAATAATTAACGTTCAAACACAAGAAAGTGCATTTGTTTATATTCTACCAGAAAACCTCAACTGTAGGTCACAAAGGGCAGATTTAATAAAAATATGACTCGAATGAATTTTTTTTAAAAAACCGTTTATTACAAATGTGTTGGAAAAGTGACTGAAAGGCAGCGAAATGAGCCCTGAAAGGATGGATGATGTACTATGATTCCCTCCTGACCTGGTAGACTGCTCGGCCAGGATGTCTGCGTACTGAACCACAAAGTTCTTGAAGCGTGACCTCTGCTCGTGAGCTCGGTCCTGCAGGGAGTAGAAGGAAGGGAGAGGAGCCCCGAAGTGGAGCTCACTGCGTAAGAGAGAGGAGGAGAGTCGCTCAGGAGACAGACTCTCATCCACGTACCAGTAGAACTGTGGGTGGGTGATGGCCAGACTCAGAGACCCTGGGAATACAAACACAGGATATGTTAGGACGACTTTTTATATTATATTTTTGTTTTCTTTTTTTATTACTGCTGAATTTTATTCCATATATGATTCCATTTTATTCCATTCTATTTCTATGTAAACACTGCTATATTTAAAAACATTTTTTTTAATGTTATAATAGTTTTCTTAAGATAGTTCTCTATCTATGTTTTTAAAAAATGTTTAACTTTTATGTATGCACCACGACATCAAGTCAAATGCCTCGTACGTGTCAACCAACAAAGAAGTAGAAAGTACAGGTATTTGTGTTTAAAATGTAAGAAGTCAAAGTAAAAACTCGTCAGAAACACAAGTAGTGGAGTAAAGTACTGATACCAGAAACATGTACTTAAGTACAGCAACAAAGTATTTGTACTCCACAACTTCCCACCTCTGATGTAGAGAGATAAAGACCACCTACCTGGTAATAAACCTGTTTCTGATTCTGATTCTGAAATCTGTTCAATTGGACTCACCTTGAATATCAGCAAGATCAGGGCCCATGCCATCGTAGTAGATCTTGCCTCCTCTCTCACTGGGGTACAGGTAGGACAGGAGGGAGCTGGGGGGGGAGCAGTAGGAGGGTCCCAGTGGCAGATCCCTCAGCATCTCCAGAGGCTTCCAGCAGAACTGATGAAACTGAGGGTGCTGCATGAGCAGGCGCTCCACATGGCGAATGGTCTGCAGGCGTTCAGGAGTGAAGATGTTCAGGTCTCCCTCCCCTTGAGCCACAAACACCAGCTCTATCCTCCACTGGGCCTGGCTCTGCAGGTAGTAATTGGGAGCAAACCTGCGCCTCCTGATGAGAGGCAGAGTCGTATTTCCATCCTGTGATCTCTCCGCCTCCTCCTCTGCTGTTTGATTTGAGTCTTTGTGCTTCCCCGTTTCATCCTGACCCATATCAAGCACTGTGCTTTTATCTGTGCTCACAGCGGATCCTCTCCTCTGATCCTCTGCTGCCTGTAAGAGCGCTTTTTGAGGAGCGGGGGACGTGACGCCCTCGTTATCCGTCCTGTTGAACACTTCCTGTCCCCTCAGCCTCTCCAGCAGGAGCTCCATCAGGGCCTCCGACTCGCTGTCCTCTACGTCCCGCCTACGCCTGTCCCATGACCCCAGCTGAGTCCTTACAGCGATGGCGAGGGCGTCGAAGCGCTCTGCAGAGAAGTGGCTGTGAACCTCAAAGGCACTGTAGGACAGGTCTATGTCCAGAGGAGGGCAGTAGAGGAGCATGTAGGCAAACAGGGCACAGGGTAGGGACACAACTACCCCTAAAACCACTCCACTGGCCCAGGGCTGAGTGTACACCCACCCCACTGCCCTCCACAGTCCACACCTCCAACCTGCTGCGTGTTCTACTCCATCTTCCTCCTCCTCATCCTCATCTTCCTCGCCTCCCCAGCTGGTCTGAAACAGCAGCGGCTCATCCTCCACATCCATGCTGGCACCTGTCAGGGACACATAACACCACTTTATTCTCACTCACTAACCCAACACCCCCTTTCCATCATCCACAGTGGATGTTTGAACTCCAGATTGAAGGACAAGATAACTTCCAGAAGTGAGCAAGGACGTGAGAATTAGGTTTTTGCTCAAGCAGCTGTTGACAAAGGGCTCACATTCGCCGAAAATTGAGGAGGGGAGATCTTTTTTTCTCAAGGGCTTGGAAGAGAAAATGGCCTGCTTTAGGATGCTGATCACAGTTTGGGGGTGAGACAGGCTGAAAGATGTGATTGACTTCTTCTCTCTGTCAGCGTGTGCAAGCCATTATCACCCGGAGAGGAGCTGCTGGTGGCTTTTACATATCAACAGCCGCCGTGTCTGCGCTGCAGCAAATTAAATCATCTCACATGTCTAATTACCGACAAGAAGAGCGAGTGGTGGATTAAGAGAGGGTTTCTCTCCTGTGACGGGCAGTCTTTGAATAACAGTGTCAATAGGTGACACTACTTTCCCACAAGATACTGCAGTTTGCATTCAAGTGGCAGTGAGCCCACTAACTGCAGACATTTATTTATTCTCCTTAGAGCCGGGCTTAAAGGTCAGCCAGGTAAGACAGGGAATCTTGATTATGTGTAAAAGATAGCTGGAGTTGAAGGGAAAATCCATAAAAAAAAAAGGAGAACATACAAATTAGAGCATGTAATCGATATTTGTACAAATGATAAAGACTGCTAGAGTTGGAAAGCAGGGAAGGAAAACTCTTCGGAGACAGACCCTGAAGCTATAAATAAATAAGAGGCAGGTGGATTTATGAGATTTGTGTTAGTGCTTTTTCAGATTGTCTTTATTTCATAGTAGGAAAAAAGGAGAGGAAAGGAAAAATATGTTTGTGTCTGCTGGAGAAAAATCACCACCAAAGTTCACTACAAATTGAGGACGTCATGGCAACATTGATAACAGCGTTACTTGTATTTCTATACTTTTTGAGATAGACATTGATTAAATCACTTAAACGCCACCTTTCTTCTGTATGCTTATGGAGATACATTTGAGTTTGTCTGTTGAGAGTAAAAGCAAACGCTCCACTGTTTAATACACTGTGGGGAAAAAAATGACTCTCTTGGGCCAATCGTTTTATTTATTAATCGCCATGTCATCTCGCTGCAGAGACAAGGACACCAGTGTACCTTTTAATGGGACAGCAGCAAACCAACATCTGCCCACACACTGTGAATGTGAACGTGGTCTTCAGACAAGACAAATCCATTAATGGTGTTGGGAGGTTTGGCACTAAAGTGTGCAAACAGAGAACAAAATAAGCGAGCCCAATCAGATCATCTCATTAATTGTGGTCCTCACTGTGCTTTGTACGTCTAAAATAACAAGCTTTTTTAATGTTATCGTCTGTAACTGGGTGGCATCGTTTGGTCATCTGCATGCATCATGGGCTGATATTTCAAAATGAGCGTAATTATGTTGTTTTCTGTATTGCTTTCATGAGAGATACTTTTCCTTTTTCGAATGTCTTTCTGCCCAGACAATTATGTGGCAAAATCAGGGAGAAATATTAGAGATGTAATTACACATTTAGAGTAAATGAAATGGAATACAGCTCTGGCTTAATACCATTATTGTAATCCTGTTACATTTCATCATCTCTGCCTCTCCAGCTTTGTTTGGATGATGGCGCTCTCATCAACAGAGGATGAGAGGAGGCAAGCAGACGAGAACAGAAATGTGATGAGGAGTGGAAAGAAAAGCCTGGGGAATGACTGTCACCCATCAAAGAAACAACCATCACATCAGATATCTGCGGAAAGAAATGGTGCTTTTCGGCTGTTTAATATTCAAATGGGAAATCTAATTGAGAGGGCTACAGGCAGATCTCCATTTCTGTGTCAGTCTCCACATCAAACAGGCTGATTAGTGGTGCAAATGTCAAAGTCGGACAGTTTGAGGAACTCATTAGAGACTGATGTGCAGACTTAGTGCCCATTAGACATTAGGGCAGACTGTGTGCAGCATGCTAACCTTACTGAGCACCTTGCATCAGACAGCATGCAGGTACAGTGAAAGGTAACCACATGTGATGCACTGCCTTCAGGACACATGCTTTTCTCTCTTTATGAGTCTTCACATCCAAGAACATTGCCCCTCGTACGATAATTATGAGCGGTGTGCAGCAGAGCTTGCTATGACTAATGTGTTTACAAGCTCCCAAGCTATTTTTTCTGCAAACATTACGAGTACAAAGACAGTTTAAACCCTGTGCAGGTGTGCATGAAAAAAAGAGTGTAATTTGGCATCCATGGAACAAACGCTGCCTCCCTCGTGGCTCAGTCTATATTAGGGCGCTGCGTTTCGTTGTCTATAATACCGTTTTAGACTAAGCTGTGTGAAAGATACATGCACAGAGAGGCCTCAAGTGCATTGCAGCTTATGAGGTGTAAAAAGCTTGTATGAATCCAAGATGGAAGACTTCATTTTGAACTTTCTGTGTCGCTTTCTCTATTGAATATTTTTAACAGAAGTGTTGCCATCTGTACCTGCCTTCTTTTCAGCAGTATGTGAAGTGTTGTGCCGCGCAGGGCTATAGGTGTTGAGCCCGTAGGAGCAAAAGAAGGGTGAAACTCCACTAGAGTAGATTTTCTTGTGTGTTTTATCTCCCATAAAAGCGCACATAAGCAGCGTGTCAGCCCTTTTACCCTTCACTTTATCTCTGGATTGCATCTGGTATCTGAGGAGGGAGCTCTGAGCAATCCCGGCATTCTGCGATCCTCAACACTTCACCTGTAATCCTCTCTCTCTCATCCCCGCTTTGCCTCACTCTCCTGCCCCTTTCTCCCCTCCAATTGCTCTGCCTTTTATCTCCGTGTCTCAGTCTTTCACACAAAAGGTGAGATGTGTAACCTTCATTATTGACAGCAGCTAAAAATAACCCCACCCTCCTCAGTTGTATCTCCTCTCTCGTCCAATATGGATATCACATGCTACCTGCACACACATTCAGCAAGGTGTAAACCACCTCATTTATTTAAACACTAGGTCTGTATGAATATCTCCTCATGCTTGAGTGCTCAGCAGGGTGTTCATAGCGGACGTGCCTTCTACGCACTGGGAATCTGGAGTCTTCAAGACAAACTCTCGAGATCTATTTGCACCAAACAACATTTTTTTTTCATTGTCGATGTAGGGAGCGCAAAGCTGTGTGTACTGAGAAGCATCCTGAGGCTGTACCGTGCCATCTCTCACACTCTCCTGAATACAATATTATAAATAAGCTATACTACAGTGATTGTATTTTCTTTTTCTCATAAAGACAAGATATTCACACATAAGAAGACTAACTTATCTGCTGCAGAGTTAATCTGATGCACAAAGCTTGTACTCCAAGCAGATATGAGGACTTTTCGTTGATTTATTAAAGCTTATTCAATCAATATTTGGATTTTTTTCTAGCATTACCTTGATTTCTTTACAGTTTCCCTTCAGCAATAAATATTGTCTATCTGTAAATCAGGCCCGAACAAATGCGTCCCTATTAATGCACATGCTTGCAACACCGAGGATGATCTTACCTGATGAGAAGAGAATTACAGGTGAAGCGTTCAGGCCTGCTGGGTCCACTTGAAATGTGCTGAACTTGTGCTCTGCAATTTCATCTCATCCATGCTCTGGTGTGGAAGAAAAAAAAACTGCTTTATTGTCATAGTTAATAACTCATCAAGAAAGAGACACACCAAGGGAACCCCAAATGGAAAATGACAGACTAATCCATTCCCATCCCGCCCCCCAAACACACTATAGGAATCCTGTAATCTCAGCAGTTAATAATGTGTTGTTTTCCTCTCCTTTTATGCTCCTTTTTCTTTCTCTCTCGCTTCTGTGCACCCTCCCCTCCTCTCTTACCCGGTTGTCCAGGCGACAGACTCAGTGAGAGACATTTCTTCCTAGAAGCTCCTCTCTCTCTCTCCCATGGCTTTGTTCAGCTTGCTCTGCTGACTGGCTCACTGGTGGAGGAGAGGCGAGGAGGGAGAGCAGTGGGAAAACCCGCCGTAAATCACCGGAGGACGGCATGACAGCCTGGAGAGGTTTTATAAATCACCCAAAGAGTGCCTTGGGCTTGTTCCACTCAAATGCCGCTGATTTTATGTCACCAAGCTGATGCAGTTGTCACGAAACTGCAGATGAGCCCCCCTCCCATGCTGTCAGAGTTGGTATGGTCTAGTCTAGTCTCAGTTTGTGGGGAGGTGGGGTGATCTGATCTTAATAACTGGCTACATTTGGGAGACAAAAGTGCTGGCATTTTAAAACAATTACCTAAGAGTATGTTATCTCGGGGTTCATGCATGTTTTGTCTGGTTGGAGATGCAATCTGACAGCTGTGTGAACAGTTCATATTCTAGGTTATTTTCTGAAACGTACTTTTGTTTGCTGTGTACCGTAGCGCCCTCGCGCACTCTCATCGAACATTAATGAGCAGCTCTCCTCTGTTGCAGACACATTCAGCACATCCATCGCCTCACCTGTGTACTTCTGCTCAGGTTTTACTTGGCTTTTAGTCCAATAATCCGTTTTTTAAATAGGAATGGATAGCTGGGAAGTGAATGTTCACCGTTTTTTTTAATCTCTTTACCTAGCAGGTGGTGCAGTGTGTGTGAGTCAAACAAAAAAGAAAGGAGGTTTTAAGAGGCTGCTGCTCACATCAATGCTGGTGTGTGTGTGTGTTGTGTGTGTGTGTGTGTGTGTGTGTGTGTGTGTATGGGCACTCTTCAGGAGACTTTGTCCTTATCCTTTTGGTGCAGCTGTGACGGACCCATCTGACTGACTTTTTCAGTCACCTGAGACCAATAAAGCGAAGCAGAGAGAATCAAATCACATATTTAGCCGCGGGACCGTGGAAGACAAACAAACAGATATAATAAAAACTGATCAATGCGTTATTGTTATAACTGCATATCGTCATAACACCAAACAGACTCTGCACAGTGTCTTTTGTCAGGGTTTAATGAGTTCCTTCATTCTCAGCAGACCTTATTCAGTAAACATTTACCACAAATATTGGCAGGCAAGAACTCATAGGCAGTTGACACGTAATAATATACATTTAAATAATACAAAATATACAGAATTAAGCCATTCATACGTCCCCACACACACTGATCACACACATGCAAACCTACACAGGGCTTTCAGAGACACACACTGACAGGATGTTGGTTATATAAGTTATTGTATGATTGTCACCAATAAAGCAGGTCTTCATAATTTTTATGAAAAAGTATTTGTTTTGGCTTTTAGACGAGACTCACATTAATCACCGTCGGACTTGAGTGAAGAATCTGCCTGAACAACAACTTAAGTTTAAGGAACAGATGAAAAATGTGACACGTCGAGCAATATATATCACACAATGAAACTATAATTGGCACGGGCGAAAATGAATCTGCATGCAGGAGGTTTCTGCACATCGTGTCCTTACTAGTGGACGGGGATAACAACTGGGAACTTTTGAATCTCTCTGTGTCATTAACAGCAGAACAAATGGCTTCAGGATGTAATGAGAAACTACAGGACATTACCATCTGGATCTAAAATCTAACAAAAGATGGCGTACCAGACCCATGTAACTGACTTTTCTTATACTTTTTGATAATTTATTTTCTAAATACTATGGAATATATATATACACTTTACATTAAAGGGCTGTCCAACTCTTCTCCTACTAACCTATAAAGGAGGGTAATGTATGCATGACTACACTCAACAAGTAGCAGTTAACAGTATGGCTGATATGTCATTTTGGCTGAGGAAAAAAGAAACCTGATATTGATCAGCAGTATAGAGCTGGGAAAACCATCTGCATTCATACTTTCATTTCCGCAAATGACCATGGTTTGGGTTCAGTGTGGCATTGCAGTCAGCTTTGATTGAGTTGGATTTCCATTTTAATTCCATCTCTGGCGAGTGCTCCCACAAAGGGGATTAAAGTTGGAACAGATCTAATCAAACATAGTTTTAGCACCACTAAAGGGGCTCGGAGGAAGCCCAGTTTTTATGGAAAGTGTGGAATTGAAGAAGTTTAACATAGTTTGATAACCCTTCCAAAAAAACACCCTAGAGAACATTTTCAATACTCCACATATCATCTACATTGTACACTTACAGCAATAACCTTTCAACCCGACACACACTTTCTCAGAAAATTAAAAAAAAAGATTTTGTTTCACGGCTGTTTCTTTGGGCCTGAGTGTTTGATCAATCGGCTCCGCTTCAGTTCACAGTGAAAAGCGACAGCCCCAGTGGCGCTGGTCAGAGTGACAGCTAATGGGATTAAGTAGATCTGAATGTGCTATGGTCATTTGTCCATGAGAAGACAGCAGTGCTGCCACACATTGACAAACACACACACTCTGACACACACTCTCTCAGTGCTGTAAACTCACATACACTCTCATACTCTCAAAGCTGTCCTGTGACAAGGGAAGTGTTCGTTTCCTCTCGTTAAAACAGATGGGTCTCCCGGATCTCACAGATGATGGTATTGGCTTTTTTGAGGGCCTGAGAAAAAGAAAGAAGAAAAAAAGAGGGTGGTTAAATCCCCGGCTTTAAACTAGTAGATCAACGAGAAAGACAAATGACTTGCAGTTCTTGAGTCTGAGAGGCTTTTTCAGAGAAGAAACCCAGCAGCCAGTTTTACCTCGAGCATGTGAGCGACCTCGGTCCGCTGCTGGGCCGTGTCCTGAGACTCAATGAGCAGATCCTGCAGCAGCGGCTGTTTGTAGAGCTGACCCACCAGCTCACTCTGCAGATGCTCTTTCACAAAGTTCACCAGGAAGTGCATCACTGTCTTGGGCACACTGCGAACACACAACGTTTGGAAAATCAGCCTCACTGACAACTGAGCTTAAGTGAGAAGGAAGAAAGGGAAATGGGGAAGTGCTCTGGAGTTCTGTCCAACCTGTCCTGGATGCTTTTGCGTACGATTAGGAAGTAGGAATGGATGAGGCGAGAGATAACCTCGCAGTCCCTCTGCTCCTTCGAGCTCAGCTTGCGGGATGCGGGCACCGCCTGGCCGAGGGACAGAGGCAAAGGGAAAGTGTTGACAGTGAGCAATGTATTCACCACTAAGTGTTTTGTCCTATTGCTAATCCCGCCACTCACCGTGTCGAGGAGGTTAATGGCCTGGCCTTTCATGGAGCTGCCAAAACCAGCAGCGGGGATTTTCTCTTCCGTCACCTTCTCGTTCTTCCAGCGCTTCCCTCCATCAATGGCCTCCGCCTGACAGCGAGAAACCAGAGGAAGTCAGAAGGGTCAAAGCAATTTCTGGAGTCTGGAATTAGACTATAAAGGAACTCCAATGTTTGGCTGTGAAACATAATGGTTACAGAACTGGACTTCTGCTGTTTGCCCTGGCAGAATAAAGGACAAACGAGTGTACCTGCTGTAAGGGCCAAACACCTACCTGCTGACTGTTGACAGACGCAGAGACCTGCGCTGCGTCCGTGAAGTCGGGATGTTTTGTGTTGATGTAGGCGAGCTCTATGGAAACTAAATTGTGTACCTAAAGGGGGAAAAAGCAGAATGAAGCTGGATAATAGGACTTGGCTTGTTAGTTTTTTTAATTAGTATGAAATATTGAAGCGAAGCTGTGGATTACCATTTCATTAGTAATCGGCAGGCGCTTCCTCAGTAATCCAGTCACTACTTCCACAATGGAATCGTGCAGTTTGGGGAATCGCAGAAGCTCCTTGGAGAAAAAAAAAGAAATACTCTTAGTGCTTTCATAATTAATGCTAATCCAAGTCAGTTTATTGAACAAAGTCATTCAAATGTTAAACATATATTAGCATCTCCTGGCTAACCTGTGTGCTATAGGAGGAGCAGTGCTGGATGATCCTCTGCAGCTCTTCATGAACCAGCTCCACACAGCGCATACTGGGCTCCTCCAGGCGCTTAATTTGCCGCTTCGCCAGCAACTCAAAAGACACCTCGGGCACAAAAAGAGCTGGCCGCGGACCCTGCAGGGCAAAACACACACACACACACACACACACACACACACACACACACACACACACACACACACACACACACACACGATTATTTACCTGCACTTCCTCCAAACGAGGGCACTTGACTAGAATTCAGATCAGACTAATTACACAGAGTCAGAGGAAGCTCACCGTAGCGTTGCGGATGGCAGTGAGGATATCAAGCTCAGACAGTCCTCCCAGGGGGTCGATGGACTGTAAAGTGCGCCCAAAGGTCTCATGGAATATGTAACAGATCCGAGCACCCCCGCAGCTGTAGAGGAGAGAGGCTCAGCTGTGACACCAACACAATTGCTCAGCGCCGCGTGTCGACAATGTTAATCGTGCCCAAATTAAATGCAGTGAAGCAAAGAAAGGTCAACATTTCCCCCGTACTTATTTACATTAATGAATCGCCCTTTGCAAAGAGAGCTGTAAGTGATGAGGGGGCCAGCAGAAGATGCTGATACCACTTAACTTCGCAATAACATCAGCCCAAGGCCATTGCCGTCATGATTAAATTGTGAACCAATGTGAATAAAAAGCTGAGTCGTGAATCAACAGTAGAAAATGAGATGACAACTTGAGAAATATTAAGAGAGAAGTCAAGAAAGCAAAGGCTGCGATCATCAGAAAGAAACACTTGTTATTCAATAAAGATGCTACAGTGGAGAGATCTGACTCACAGCTCTGAGGTCTGGATGTATCGGGCCGTCCCCTCGATGGTGTGGCAGTAATCGCTGGCGAATTTGGTGACGATCTGAAGCAGAGTGGCGCTCTGGTCTTCTACTGGTTGGCCGTAGCTGTTGAGCCGGGCCTGGTACTGGGAGCTGAGCACGGTCACTCTGGTTTTCAGGTCTGGCAGGCAGTCTCGGATGTGGTGCATGAGCAGCCTGCTGAGGGTCTTGGCCAGGTAGCGCGAGCTGGCCCGGGAGGCGATGGAGGGGTAGTGGCGCTGCAGGAAGGCCTGCTCGTCCCTCAGACAGTCCTCCAGGCTCTTCTGGGTGTTGATGTCATGCTGGCTCCTATTGGGAGCACCAATCAGCCAGGGAGAGGGAGAGTAGGGAGAGGGAGAGTAGGGAGAGTAATCAGATCAACAGGGAAATAGGGACACGAACAACTTGGGACTTGAAGCCGAAAACATTACAAGGTGAAAGAAAAGAAAACATTTGTTATGCAAAGTGCAAACCTGTTAACCACCCCGATAATCCCGAGTCTGACTGGAATGACCCGACCAAGAAGGACCTCCAGAGCGTCAGTCCCTGCATCCATTAAGTCCAGCTTACTGACCACCAGCAGCGTTCGGCGACCTAAAAACACACACACACAGATCAGTTGATTTCTACAGAATTGTATTTTATACTGAGGAACACAGAAAGTAAGCAAACAGTACACAAGGAAACAGGTCCATGGTGGGTGGACTGAGGACAGCAGGGAAACATTTAGACACATTCACAGATCCTAACTAGAACACACTCACAGAGGCACTTTACGGCCATATCTGGAAGCGCCCAGACAATTACTGCAAGCCGATCCTCATCATCCATCAAGCTCTTATTCAGAGTGCAATTTAAGACAACACACAGTCAGAAGGCTTTTAACAGTAAAGACAGGCAGTCCCAAAAGCCTGAAATGACTGGAGCATTAAGCATTCTTTGCGCATATTTAATAATTCAAAACGCATTTCTACTTAAGGCATGTTATTTAAAAAGCATGGATGGAGAGGAAGGATATTCAAATGAAATCTGAGGAGAAGCTGCGCCTGTGAACGAAATGTCCTACCATCTGGATCAACCTCACGCGCCAATTTCAGAGCGTCAGAGGTGGCCAAGTCAGAGTTGGCGGGGGACACTGCGAGGATGAGGCAGTTTGGATTGGAGATGAAGGACATGATCATCTCTTGTACTTGTGCCTCAATATCCTCTGGCTGTTCTCCAACAGGAACCTGAGTCAACAACAACAACAACAACAACAATGAGCAGTCAGTGTTACAGTAAGCACAGCACAGATGCTCTGCTGGTCTGCGATATTATCGTGATCTAGTGCTATTATGTTTGCGCACATGAAATATAATTAAAAAGGGGCAAAGTGTATACCTTAGTTATTCCAGGTAAATCAACCAGGGTGAGATTGAGGACTTTGGGGGAGAATATCTTCAGATATATGGGCTCAGGGCTGATTCCCTGCAGGATATGGGAGAAAAGACAGATGATGAATGCAGTGTAAAAAGCAACATTTAAGGCACAGCTGATTTAAAAAGTAATGCTTTTCCTCTCACCTTGTTGTCCCCTGAAGTGCGTTCGGTCTCGGTGACAATTTCCTGACGAATTTCCTGAAAATCTGTAAAGGTCTGTGAGAAAAGGTGTGAGAATGACGCATTAACTAAACCCAGCACGGAGCACAGGACAAAGACCGGGGTCTACTTTTTCACCAGTGATTTTCAATGACCTTAACCTCATTTTCCATGACCAAAAACAATGACTCTTTCTCAGCGGTGCCACTGGAAATGGTTTATTTTAACATGGAACAGGAAAATAAGGTCTGCATATGAAACATGTTGAGCCTATCTAAAACAAATCAAATAGTACGCTTACTAGCTCCTACACGCTAAAGCAACTCAAATCTCTCACCAGCAAAACACCTCGTCAGTTAAAAGCCATTTTAAGTTTCATTACTAAACCATACAGTATTTATTATCTTTATAGTAATACTATTTTGGCGATTGGATCAAATATAAATTATTTTTTATTCAACTTTTTTCTGCATTTCAATGACTTTTCCAAAACTTTGGGAAAAATATGCATAATTTTAATCATGCAGTTAAATATACCTGGCCCTTGCAGTGCAGGAAAGTGCCCCATTCTTCAGCTTTGACACCTGCACAAACATATTTCAGTGAGTGATTTCACAAACATGCACCAATGTACTGTTTGGGGATAAATAATGTCATCTCAAATATTACAAAAATGGACTTGACGTGCTTCACAGATAAAGATCAGAATGAACAGAACGGTTGAGGGGAAGTTAAACAAAGAGGAGCCCAAGCAGAACAAATATAAATAAAGAGACCTGGATAGCTGATTTGGGCATTTTGTTTTATCCCATTTCCTGAAGGAGCAGTGGTGAAGAAGAAAAAGAGGAAGACAGATTGCATGTTAGCAAAGAGAAGCTCCACAAGGAATTGCTTGCAGTTCAAGCAGTTAGTGAAAGTGCCATGCCTAAGTGCTAATCACATAGAGTCTACTTCTAGCAGACTGCATGCCTACACACATATATAACAAGCATTGTGCTACTTCCTAGGCTGATATTCACTATCTTAAATTAGTAACACCCCTTGATTATGTGTTTTCAGGGATAACCAAAACAGCTGTCCTCTTATGTAAACTGTGTATAAATATGAAGGTACCATTCTCTGTCTTCAGTCTCTCCTGCAGAGGCGCCACATTAACAAGCTGCAACACGAGGGGTCGTCTTGTGACTATTCCTGATCCCCGAGGCAGGAAGTCCCGTCCAACCAGGCTCTCCAAAACAGAGCTCTTTCCACTGCTCTGTGACGACAAATGAATAAAACAATTCAGCATGTTTATACTCACAATATATAGGATGTTAAAGGTGGGGAAGGTACGTTTGAGAAAACCGGCTCGAGATACACTTTTTGTTATATTCCATGGAATGCTCTTAACATCCCGATAGCAATGAATATCTGAAGTGCTTTGACAACAAATACATACAAAAATGTCATCTGTGGAAGCCGCTGTAAAAAGCACGACCAATCATCTGAGCCGGCCCGGCTAAAATAACTGGATGGCCTACCTGCCTGTCAGCCTTCCATCTGTGCACAAACTTATCTCGTGCCCTCATTGGTCATGTGCGCGTTCGTGTGTGTTGGAGGAGGGGCTCTGTAAGGAAGTGGCAGATTTTTTCCGGTTGTGTATTTTCTAATTCTAGCGCACTCGAGCTGGTTTCTCAAACTTACCTACCCCACCTTTAAATGTATCCTGGCAGACACAGTAACAAGTGTAAAGTCCAGGCAGGGTTTACAGATAATGATGACGGTTAGAATTAAGCTTATCATTGTGTGTTTTTTTGTTACTGACCTGACTTCCAACCACGACTATCTGAGGCAGCTGTATGACATCCGCCCCCACTGTGAGAAACACCTCCTGCAGCCGGTTGATGGTGGGAATAAGAGTATCCATTCTTCCAAAAGACTGACTGCAAACGTACTAAATTGATAACAAGAGAATACACACGAATAGACAGAAAGAAAGAAGAGCAAATTAGTTTAGCTGACAGCAAACCTCACAGAAACGCAACTCTACAGCCATTTAGGGAAATGCTTGTCCCGTAAGCCCAATGAGAATGAAGCTAGCTGCTTTATAGTCGGAGCAAAAATAACAAAAAGAGAACACTGTGTTGAATGTGTACAAAGCTTAAGTACACTTCTGAGGTAGTTTACTTGAGTATTTCCATTTTTATGTTAATTTGTACTCCACTACAATTATGAGGTAAATATTGTAGTTTTGCTCCAATTCATTTCTGTAGTCCTTTTAGATGATAAATAATGATAAACAATATGATCAACACTTGAGTATTTAGTTACACCTGGAGTAAAATGCACAAGCTACCCTGTAGTCAATTAAGAAATTCTAATTAATCCCACCATTACCAGCTATGATAAACACATCAATATAAATAATAATAAAAATAATGTTATTCTGAAATTGGCCAATCTGCATAATGAGTACTTTTACTTTGGGTACTTTAAGTATATTTGTATGTCAATACTTTTGTATTTTTATAAGTATTTTGAATGGAGGACTTTTTATTGTAACATAGTATTCCTACACTTTGGTATTTCTAGTACAAGATAGAGTACCCTTCCACCTCAGTAGATAGCAGCATTATAGTCTGAGCAAGAAAAAAACAAAACACTGTGTTGTTAAAAAGAAAGGATAGGTATTCCCTCTTGCTTTGCCAAAGGGTAAAGTGGTCCTGATGAGAGGGGTGTAGCGCCCAGGCATCAGTCAGATAAACATTGTACCGAATCCTGACCCAATGGAGGAGACATTTTTAATTAACATCTGCCAATTAATCATAAATGCATTGGTCTAACGTCTAAAATACATGGTTCCAGATGTTATAACAGCAGAGGTTGTGTCAGTCAATGTGAGCGGGCTAAAGCTAACCGGCTATGCAGGAAGTGAATTAGATATACTAGCTTTGTGCTAACGTTAGCTTAGCCTCAATAACCACCGATGCTCCATTATGACCTTACCAATGTCCACCAAATAATATCCCCGGCTTATCCAAGATGTTAGTCCTTCATTATTCGTAGGGAAACGGCAACATAGTCAAAAACATCGCTATTTATCCAAATGGTTAGACGAAAATAAGCAGCAACATAAATAACCGTCAGTTTACCACATAGGCGGTACCTGCATTTCTCTTCCGCAGTCTGATTGGTCATAAATATGACTCACCAGCGATGCAGGCACCTGATTGGTCGACCGTTAAGAAGCTGTTTTTGGTCCCGCCCACGTTTCTATTAATTCCTTTCTTGTTTTATTTAACACCTTCTTGTTTTTAATTCTACAACCGATCTAAAACTCGTCCTATGTGGTATTAATATGGATATTTCACAAACAAGATCAACACAAAAAAAACAGGAAAATACTTATTTTTCTGTGGTTTAATGTGCATATATAAACATGATATTTACAAATCATACAATAAACATCAGTAAGTTACGGAATAAAACATGTGTATTACCTTCTAATGGATTGTTAAAAGAAATCACTCAGTCATCATCCAGCACATACATTAAGAACAAATACCCTCAAGTTGAAGTAAGTGTCCTCTGGATGTTGTAGCAGCCAGAGATCATGTGAGACTAACAGCATAAAGGGACTCCTTTGTACTCAAACATTATGTGATCAGGTCTTGTGTCATTACTGCAACATCTGTGTCAGGAAACAATACAAAAGTTGCCAAGGTTTCTTATCCAAGTCCTTTGGTCATGGACACGAAAAGGCCTATTGTTGAAATAATCAACAGTCAAGTGTTATCTGTGTTCACTCAGCCAATGATTAGGCACACAGCTGGGGCCCCTGCTAGAAAACTGATATCATATTTTCCACGCCTCACACCTCTCAAAAGACAATCACAAAAAGCCACTATCAGCTAAGCATTCTCAGTCCATATATGAGGTGTCCATGCCGTCTCCGTCAGGGTGAAGCAGTCTTCCCGCCAAGCGCTCAATGTCATCGATACTCAGCTGTCGAAGTGAACGTTCATAGTCCTAGAACAAAAAGAAAAGAATGTGAAACAGCAAGTTTAAAATGATTGCTCCGAATCTATTTCCACCATGTAACTTTATTTTTAATGTAGCATGAAATAGGGAGGATTGTTGTAGTGCAGCCCTGAAGACAAACCAGTTCATTTCACATGTTGGCAGCTAAAATAATGAAGAATTTAGGATTATGTACACTCCACACAGATTAGTTGTGATAACCCACAATCCAAGTCTGTGACACGAATGCGTTTGTTATGTCCTAATTTAGAAACTGGATTCTCCGGTTTGAACCTCCTTCATTTAGAAAGCAAAAGTGCATTAAGAATAACTTGTTGATCAAAGATTTCCAAATGAAATCATCCAAGTTGCCCTGAAAGAGCAACATTTCAACTAGGTATAAATGAGATGTGAGGTTTGAATGTATCCATTTTATTTTTTAAATAAATAAACATTAGACATTTTTTTTATCAAAATGAAAACAAAGATCTAACACAGTACATTAGGTACTTGCAGTGCTTATAAGAAAAATATGTATTAAAGTGATATCGTTTGGGTGATATATAGCTTTGAAAGATGAGCACTTATAATGTATAATTATATGAGTTAGGATAGTCATAGCAACACCTAAGCACCCCCAATGCACCGTATGTGTGAAATTCATAATTTGAAAAAGGATTGATTTGAAAATAATATGCTACAGTACAAGTAGCCTACTTCTGGGTCTCTGTGTTTCATTCAAGCTCTGCTCTGTGTGTGTGTGGCACGAGCCATTTTGTGTGCGTGCGTGCGCGAGAGAGCGAGCGAGCACCGGTACCGGAGATCGTTGTGGTTAGCATCTGGTGCTAGCTACGCTAACGGATATAAGGAGCTTTTTCAACAACAAGGTGGAGGGACAACTCTCTCCTGTCAGACTGAGAGTCTCAGATAACCTCAGCTCAGGTGAAGTAAAGGACTCTCAGTGTTTAGATAGTTAACTTTAGTCTAAATTATCTCAGTGGGTCTCAAACGTTTCGGTCACGATTTATGTAAATAAGTATTTCTGAGGCACACCTTCATATGATCATTATAGGTATAAAAAAAGAGAATAAATGAAAAACAGGTATGAAATACTATATGACAGTAAAACAAGAATACAGTATGAAAGGGGAGTGATTTGTAAAATATCCATAAAGAAAAAGTAAATCTGTTTACTGTTCTGTTTCATATGGTTGTTGAGAGATGTATCCATAGATCTCTTCATTTTGCTCTCAAAGTGCACCAGATTGATGCTTTTAACTTCAATATTTATAAAAGAATTTTCCTGGGGGAGCTTGCCCCTGGACCCCCCTAGAGGATGTTTGGTCCACTTCCCACTTATAAAAAAAATAGCACTTTACCCCTGGTTACACCTATATGCCGTGAGCTGATTATCGAGCCTTCATTGTAACAGTTGCAGGTACACTGTGTGTGTGTGTGTGTGTGTGTGTGTGTGTGTGTGTGTGTGTGTGTGTGTGTGTGTGTGTGTGTGTGTGTGCACGTGGGGAGTGTTGCAGTAGAAAATGCAACGCCAGGGACATTAATGGGAAACCCTAAATGTTTGAGCACCCTCTATGAAACGTCAAGCTACCCATCAGCTTGTCAAGCTACCTCACTACCTCACAGCACCCCCAAAAGAAAATATCTGGCGCCGCCACTGGGCGTGACTGTGCTCTGATTAACACCTGTCCCAAACACAATGGGTTGGTGGATACAGAGGGCTTCACAGGACTTAATTGTTGAGTCTTTCATATTTGAGAAAAAGGAAAACTGCATTTATTGGCCATATTTGAAGCAGACTTGAGCTGTTAAGAATGTATTCACACTTTTGAGGATCCAGCCCCTAGATGTAAAAGCAGCTTTTATGATGGCTAAATAGAATGACATTCAAAAAAACAACGTGCAAGAACATTTATTTCTATTTTCTTATGACCTCATTCTCATTTGTTTATGAATGATATATAACTGGGCTAAGGCATGTGATGCTGCCTACACTGCTAGCAACAAATACAAACGTGAACAATTGACTGTTAATAACGTCAGAGTGGATTAGCTAAATGTGATTTGATCTAAGAATAATTGAATTGTTATACAGTTATTATTGAATGAAATCCTCAGAACTGTTACAGGGCATGTCTTTTTGTAAAATGTGTATCTTTTTTTATTATAATTTCTTTTTTATCTTTAGTACTTTGATAAATGCTTCGGTAACATTAAGCTGTCTTTGGCTCTTTACTGCTGTAACAATGGAAATGTCCCCTCTGTGGGACTAATAAAAGGTATTCCGATTCTTCAATACCTTAATAAGCTGTTCATGGACTTTTGCTGCATCTGCTGGACTGAAGTGCTTGGCCAGGACAGTGGACACGGTCTGCCACACTCTGCCCTGCGAGCTGCTGCTGCTGCTGCCGGCAGACATCCCTGAAGGACCCGTCCTCTCTCCCACCGGACGGATCACCAGATTCAATTTAGCCTCTGGCCCAATGGAGTAATCACATAGTCTGTGTTCATCTGAGGAAAGCAATATATTATACACTCATTAGTAAACGTTTGATTTATGTGCAAGATAGATCGGTGAATGAAGAAATTAGATATATATAATAATATAATAGATATATAAAGATTATAAAACACTTGACTGTTGGCGAATCTACCTGCGAGCGCTTTCCCTTTATAGAGCAACCGCTGCTGGTTCGCTGGTATGTTGAGACGTTCTGACACGAGTTCCTTAACGGTGGAGACCTTCTCATCTTCAGTCACCTGCAGGAACACCAACAAGATGGCATACTATTTTACATTTGGCAAACATTATGTTCTTCTGTTTAGCTGAAGCGTACTGACATTTTAAAAGAGTGTAGTCAATCCGAATATCAGAGGAATTCACATGCACAAGTGACAAATTCTTCAGGTTGCATCTACCTCTGGTAAACAGTCTCTCTACCACAATATTCCCTATAGAACATAAACAGTCACTGGCCTATAGTGGTGGTATCCCATAAGCACTGAGACAAAGCAGATAACAGGTAAGTTACACAGTGGGCGGGTACTTTTGTACTTTCAGAAATGAATCAGGAGAAACATTGCATGTTGAGCTCTTACGCAGTTTAAGATACTAGAACATAGAGTCACTTCTCTTCTGCTGAATACAACATTACATCTGCTATTATGAAATACTTCCCCATGTGATGAATAGATAATCACATGCTCTAGATTACAGTATACTAGGCATGGACATTGTTCTACACACAAAGTATTACAGTAACATACGCATCATATTATAAACCACAGCGGACCCTATGATCAAATTTAATGAGCAGGTTTGGGTGTTTATATAATATACTGCATAAGGGATAGTATAGCCCCAGTTTGAATACAGTAACTTTATCAATTCAAAACACGAGAGGCACAAACTGGGGCCAGGAAAAATAACCTCACATACTTTGGAGAGTAAGACAAGTAACTAAACGCTAGTATAATGCAAGTTAGTTAATGCTGATCTAACTAACTTGCTTAACCAGATATCCCTTTCAATAACCCTTTACGTATATATTGTTTCAAAACTGCACCTTGTGCATTTAAATCTAATCCAAACTGTAGTTAACTTATTATGCAAACAGTATACGTTGTTAACTTATAATGTTAATTATTCATTAATGTTTGTAAATGGTGGGCTGGCATATCATACAGTAGTACACCGACTTCAATTCTATTTGTTAATCTGAATATTAATATTCAATACAGACACACTATACATCTTTCACTGTTGATAAGTACATAATGTACTGTTCTGTGTGTTTATACATATATATTTTCTGTTTAAGTTTATTTACTATTTATTACATTTTCAATTCATGTTCGATACTTGTCTACATGCTGCTGTGCCAATTTATTTCCCAAACTGGAATCAATAAAAGTAAATCTTATCATCTCAACTCATACTAATGCGCTAATTATAACCATTGTCTTACGATAATGCTATAAGTATTTGCTTAGTAGTGACTTCCCTTACCTACTCCAGACAAACCAAATACGGACTTATAGAGATCACACTCAACCAATGTGTTTATAACCTTGAAAATACAAATAAAAAGCTAAAAAAGAGAGAAGAGAAACTGGTGTAGTTACAGTTTTCGTTGTCATGTCTTTTCTAAAGATATTGCTAAAAAGCTAGCTAGCTAGAGTAACATCTACGTGGATTCATAACTGAGCAAGGATGGAAAGTGCGACAGTTTAAAAAAAAAAAAAACACTCATTAGAAATGGATAGCCTTATGTTATATCTTAAGAAAAACATCATGTGGATGGTTGCTTCACTCAGAAGGGACCACCTTTTTGTCGGCTAACGTTAGCATGCATATAAAGGCTAGCTAATGTTGCTAATGAAGCTATCAGTAGGTAGTTAACAGTTAGCACAGAGCTAGCTCAACGGTTCTTCACTCACCTGAACACTGCATTCTTTTCCCTGAAGCGGTTTCACGGTAAGGATCATTTTCGATGTTACCCTGAACCAAACACAACAGCACGTTTAAAATGTAGGCAATTCAATATGTTAAAGTCAGGTTACTTTGCCAACTCAAGATAGCCAAACGGTTTCCTCTCTTGTTAACGGCCCATCTTCTTCTGACGCTGCTCTCTGGAGAAACCACCGCCACCTCCTGACGGGAGGAGGTATGACGGCTCAGGATTAGTCACCCAAAAAACATTATGATTTATGATTATCTTTTCTTCTCAAGATAATTAGACTATAATTAAATATGAATAGGGAAGACGAGGGAAATGTTCTTAAAACACAGATCAAATCATGTATTCTGAATATCTATCTTAGTTATGAACCTACTTGTTAATTGTCAATATAATGAATTCATTTTTTAATTACTAATTACTAAACGTTTTGAATATAAAATATCTTTGCTTGGTTCTTGTAGCTATTGGGCTGGTGTCTTTATTTGACTCCAAATTATCATTATGCGTTGGTGCGCGACGCGTGGTTTTGTGCTGTTTCACACTGCACATCAATTATATATCTTTACTATGAACTTTTTTTTACAAACTTTTCAACACCTATCTTGCACACCTAACGGACAAAGCGAACATATTTGTTATGACGCTTTTTTATAGTATGTCCTTATAATTTTATTTTAATACTTGTATTCTATATATTTTGTTGTTTTTTCCCCTTTGTTTATTGAATGCTCCAAAAAGACATGCAAATGGACATGCAATGAAAACACTAGGCAATAAACCTCACCTATACCTATACCTTATTCCAGGTTACTATTGGTAATCATCATAACTATTTTTAAGAGGTTTGCATCAGTCCAACTGAGACACAACAATTGTTCTGCCACCATTTATGCATTATTATTATATACTGCCTCTGTCAGGATATGTATGCCACTTTGCAGGTGAAGATGGAGATAAAACAACCACTAATCAGTGCACACAGACTTCAATTCAACTATTTCACTTCAGCCAAGTATCTGGGGAATGAAATGCTTCATGCTCACCGCACAGTTTTCCGGAGACCCACCAATCCCCGGAGTTTTGGAAATACCCCAAAGACCCTCTGACCCAATTGGGTTTCAGTCCATGCATTTCTTATTCCAGCCTCCCGGATGATCTCCACTGTCTTGGTCATGTGATTCCTGCTGTCTGAGCCCAGCCTACAGACCAGTGCAGAGGAGCATCTCTCAGCTTTGCTGCTGCAGACAGATCGGCACCTGTCGCATGGACTGACGGCTGCAGACACACACATTCAGGACAAGTGAGGAAGACTCCCTCAGCCCCGGAAAGGCTGCATCTGGTAAGTGAGCTTTGTGTGTGTGCGCGGTGATAATTTTGATTTATATTTTATCCAGAACATGCATGTTTGTTTACAATCAATATTTGAGAAACGAAAACGCTGTTGTCAAATGTTACCAGCTTGCGCTTTTAACATAAAAAACAACATGTATGATTCCTGCTTAGACACAAAGTGTGTGTGACTTAATACAGAGTCTACAATGACCTTGTCTCAATCTGAACGGTTCCCTTGAATCTCGTTCAGCTACCAAAGCTACTTTTCTTTGTCAAGCGTTTGTATACTCTTGTCCTTGAATTCATACAGTATTTTTTGTAATGGTGAAAAAGATAAACATATGACAAATACAGGGATTGCATAAACATATTGTAGCCTGTCTATGAATCAATTTGTGCATGTAGCCGTTGACCCTGGAAATTAGTTTAAGTGCTGCACAAAGTCCTGCAAGCCCATAAGCAAAGACAGATTTATAGTCTTATTTTCATTGCAGAGGAAACTGTGTCATTGGAATATTCTTGAGTATGTTTTGTTCTATTCAACCTGTTGTAAAGCATTGCTGAAAATATATCTACCTACCTACCTATTTACCTAACTAACTACCTACCTACCTACCTATCTATCTATCATATTTATGTCCATCTTTTGTAGATGTGTATTGGAAGCATAATACAACGTCTCCAATGTGTTATATTCCAATTAATCCATTACTAACTTTGAGTTAAATGACATTGTAGCTGCAAAAAATCGAACTCAAAATGTTTCAGAAATTGAACATCATGGGTTGTATGACCCTATATATCTATATATGTATTCAACTTTGCAGGTAATGGGTACACTTCGGGACCTCCAGTTTGCCCTGCAACTAAAGATTGAGGAGCTTCGCCAGAGGGACACACTCATAGATGAGTTAGAGTTGGAGTTGGATACAAAGGATGAACTCATCCGGAGACTGCAGGAAGAACTGGATCGGTACCGAGCATCCGTCTCCCTCCCAGGGTCCTCTGCAGCCAGTGCAGGTACATTTTTTATTCAATGTTTGCAAGCATCAACAGGTACCACAAGCCTAAAACCTGACTTTCTGTTTTTTTCCCCTCTACTATAGCTTGCTCAGTTCATGGTGAGGACTCGCAGAGAGCCAATAGGAAAACAGTCATTTCTGAACCCTTCAGTCTGGACCCAGTGACTCTCGCCATGGTTTCACAAAGAATCTGTGATAAAAGCAAAGAGTAAGAGCACACACTTCTCTGGAAAGTTCAAGGCTCACCTACTGCTCTGTGCATGACTCAGAATCAATGAATATATTTGTTATTTTCAAACAATACTGCATTCAAGGCGTTAAGTGACTATGTTACATCACTGTTATGTGCACTCAGGTCTCAGAGGCTGATTCAGGCAGCGTTTTCAAAGAACGCCTTGTTGAAAAACCTTGACGAAGGAGAAGTCAGAGCCATCACAGCCTGTATGTGTCCCTCCACCATCAATCAGGGCTGCTACGTTGTTCAGGAGGGGGCCTGGGGGGCACAGGCTTATGTTTTAGAAGGTAAGTCATGTCCTTCTTACAATTGCTAGCATTAATCGTCCTTGAGAATATTTATTAACATTTCCTTGAGATGACAGGTGCTTAAGAACAGCCATATGAGATGATTGGTTTCATTTTATCTTTGTATATAATTGTTCTTCTTACTGCTGCCTCACAATTTTTTTATACGGTAATATGACACTGCACTCAAGGACAGCGATGGGAGAATTGCACGTTTGAGCAAGACAAGGGGAGCCACTTGGGATAACAAGGGACCCAAATTGAAGTGCTTTGTGTTGAAATGTCAACTTGAGGTAATAGACAGGAGAAAAGAGGTTCTGCTCAGAGTTCATCAGCGCCTGATTGTCCTCAGAAATCTGCCTGCATTTGTAATGTATCAGCTAATGGAGAGTGGCTGCTTGCTATTATTAGCTTGTCATCCTAAAAAAGAGAGGTAGTGGCCTTGATTCGCTCAGGGATGATTGCAAATCAGTAGTTTGTTCAGACAGCTGAGGGTTTTCAACAGTCTCGATACATTTCCTGACAGAAAAACACATGCACAACAACAGCTCCATGTGTTGCATCTTTCTGTGTGTTTCTGAACAGAAGGGCGCCTGGATGTGACAAAAGACGGATTGAAGCTTCTCACGATTGAGCCAGAAGACATGTTTGGAGAGCTGAGTCTTCTCTACAACTGCACACACACCTACTCTGTCTCAGGTATAACTGTGTTCTTGGTTTTATATTTGCATGCAGACATCGCTGGAGTTGTGTTGCACCGTACCACTGGTGGACTTTTACTTTAATTAGATTTGACTTGGTGAGGATATGAATAATTCTTGTTTTTGAGAATGTCACAGGCAGGCGTATCTCAGTCAGTGGTCTCTTACAGACGCCCTTTGAATCTAGAATCAAAGACTCTTTGATATCTTAGACAACACCAAAGCTTCAAGCAGTTTTCTCAGAGACGTGAGGAGTTTAAAACCTTTTCTGCTTTACTGCATGCCACAGAGCTGTCTGACTGCTACGTCCCAAATGCCTTAACTGAATTTTCACAAACATTTTCACAAACATTGCCAAATAGCACATTCGATTCACTTTGCTCGTGGTTGGATCACAGCCTATATATACATTTCTGATGTGAGAATGTGTGATATTCTTTAGAAAGTGTGTTGTCATTTCCTTCTAGCGTCTGATCACGGAGTCTTGAGGGAAAACTTTTCAAATAAATAGTCTGTGAAGATGGTCAGGAACGGTTTAAATTGAAAAATTCCATTAATTTGCCTTGTTTGGTCCCTAAGCACCTCATTCCCCTTTTCTCCTGCTTTCTCAACCAATTCCTATTAACTGTTATATACTTTTTTCTCATGCCGGCGGTGTGTTGTCCTTTGTTCCATGTACATTTCTTTCAGGCCGGCCCTCAGATCTGTTCACTGTATTTATCTCCATCCTCTCCTGAAATTACTTTTTCCTCTCCATTGTTGCCACCTGAAACCATCAATAAGGCTTTTTCTCGTGGTCTCATTCATTGTGAGTGATAAAGGTGCAGGAGAATACGGGGCTTTTTTTTCTTACAGGCTGGAAAGTTCAAGGTGTAAAAATGATTTGCTGCAGAAAACGTCAGAAAATCTTCCTTTGAGAGCAATGTTTATCTTACTTTAGTTTGTCTCTGTTGCTTCGGTATATAAAAACACCCTCAGCATCTGCATCGCAGTCAGTGGAGTTCTGGAAACAACTCGTACAAATAGAAACACACAATGGATTGCAAAAGCCCTTAAAATCCTTAGTTTACTCGAAAGTAAATATGAATGATAAGTCCTTCTGTCAGTGTTAAAAAACAATAGTAAATGCTTAGCCATGACTTAATTATACCTGATGGCTAATGTATTTAAGAGAATGATTAAAAATGCACATGGCTGTACGTTTTTCTGTATAACTTACATTATTATACAATTCCGGGCAAAGCAGTATATATATTAGCTCATGAAATGCAATATTTGTTATTATTTATCATACTATTTGAATTGCATGTCACATAGTGCAGTATATTAAACTGATTTAGTATTTCCATATGGAGGGAATTGAGACATCCGTTCTGCACCACAGTATCAGATCTCATTAGGCCGTCTAAGGACGTCTACTTCTGTTTGCAGGAAGCTTCAGTGAATTCATCAATAAGGGTCATCATTAATTCACAAGCCCCTCTTTTAATATCTATTAAAAAGAAAGAGTCATACAAAATGAGGAAATTAGATTAGATTTATTTGAAAAGTGTCTGTAAGAAACTGAGCACTGAGCCTGCTCTTAAGGATGTAGCTGATCCTGCATT